GTGGCAGCAGGGAGGGGGAAAGGGCTCCTCCACAGGCAAGGGCTCTTCTGCCTTTCCCTTCCAGCAGCTGGAAGAGCTGGACTTTGGCTTTTGATCCAGGCAAAGGGCGCAGAACCTGCCGCTCCCAGGGCCAGGAAAGCAATAGCTCAGAAACACCCAGGAAATTCCCTCTGACACCTGCCAGCTCCACAGCCACGCCCCAGAGACACCCTTCACCCGGCAAAGAGGAGCAGATCCTGTGTCCCCAGGACCCCTCCAGCCAGGCAGACGCAGGCTGGCACCTCGTCCCCACCCATCACCCACCCACATCCACCCCAGCACGGGTAAAAGCAGCAGCAGCTCCTGCCAGGCCACCTGCAGCAGAAAGGAAAAGCTCCATCTCCAGGACCTATTTGTTTTCAGGCTGCCAACAAGGAAGCAATTTGCTTCAGGGGATTAATTGTTGGGAATCCTTCTTGTCCAAAGGGGAAAGCCTCAGTTTCACCAAGTCCAAGGAGGGATCTTCAGGCTGGCATGAGAGAGCAGGATCCAAGGAAAGCTGCAAAGCAAATCCTGAGCTGCCATGGGGAAGAAGAGGTTTGGGAATCTTGACATTTAATCACGCAGTAACTAAAGGTTCTCAGACATGTCTAATAAGACAATTATAGTGCATGTTAATAATAGATTATTAAAAAGCTTATTTATGGAGGTTTAAGCAGGCAGATGGTAAGGCCATGGTGATAAGGCTCTCCAGAGCCTGTGCTACCTCCCAGCTCCCAGGGATGCAGCAGGCATTTGCTTTCCTCTGCCTCCAGCCCCCTATGCTTAACCTTCACACGACTGCCCAAAGCAAAGCAGCAAATCCCTGCAGAGGGACTGCAGCCAAGAGAAGATTCTTGTGGGGCATTTTGGGGTGCTCAGAGCTCCCAGCCTCTCTGCAGAGCAAGGACTGGATGATGAAGTGATGGAAAAGCTCCATCTCATGTGCAGTCAAGAGAAAAACCAACATCAACAGGCAGCAAGGAGGTGGTCATGGCCAAGACAGGGGTTAAAACCACCAACAAACACCTGCCTTGGTTTTCCAGGGGGTGTCCCTCCTCCCCCGGGACCCTGATCCTGATAGACTTTATTCTGGGAAAGCTCCCAGGGAAGCTGGAATAGGGCTGGTTTGGCTTAGTTTGGATAACAAAAGGAAAAATGTGCATTTCAGGCCAGGAGGTGATTCACCAGCAACCCTGTTCCAGGGGCCAGGGCAGGTCCAGGCACCCAGAGGAAAAATACAAAACAGGAGTTTTGGAACAAGAAAAGGGTAAAAATGAAACAAATGCAACTGCAAGTCTTGATGGAGAAGGAAAAAACCCAGACATTGCCAGGCTGTACCGTGAAGCTGCAGATACGGAGCCAGAGGGATGGGTCCAACCAGGAGCATCACTCTGAGCCTCCCTAAATTCAGCTTCTCCCTCATGGATGGTAAAAATCCACCACACTCCAGTGTCCCTCTGCCCACACTGGAGAGCCAAGGGCTCAGGAGCCAGAAACCTCTGCCCAGGGCACACTTGGGCACGTCAACAGGATTTTCCGGAGTGTCTCGACGCAGAAGCCTCAAGGGTGTTTGCACTGTCTGGGCGCTCTGGGAAAGGGCATGGCATTCTCAGGGCATTAAAAACACACATAGGAGCAAACAAGAGCAAGAGCTTCTTCCCTGGCACGACAGAATAGGCAAGAGGAAAAAAAGAAAACGCAAAAAAACCCCACGAAGCCTGAAACAAGCTGACAAGGAAAATGTAATGTTCTCGCACATTTTATGTGCTTGGTGAAGGCGGGGTGGGGAGAATAAAAATGCCTTGGCATGGAAGAGCCCACGAACAGCCAGGCGGAGGAAAACAAACACCGGGAAAAGCGCTCCAAGAGCAGCATCGGGCACCTGAGCACCCGGAGGGCACGGAACGCGGACCCTGTCCCCCAGCAGCAGCCGGGGCCATCTCTGCTCCTGACCCCCTTCCCCGAGCATCCCCTGCTCATCCCTTCTCCCAGCACCTCCCGAGCCCCCGTGACCGTTAACGGGCGGCGGCTGCCCCGCTCCCGACCCCAATCCCCGCCCCGGGAACGGCGTCTGCTCGGCTGCTCCCATTCTCTCGGCCGAGACAGCACCGCCGCGTCGGGGTCGGGGTCACCCGTGCCAGCGCTGCCGCGCGGGGACAGGGACGCCTGGGGGGCCGGTCCCCCCTGCCTGGCCCCAGCTGGTCACACAGCCGGCAGCCACCTCCCCCAGCCCCCCCAAGCAGTCTGAGTGCCTCCGGAGACGCCACCAACCCCAGTCCAGGGCTCCCTGGCAGTCCCAACCTCCCAAGTGGAAGCTGCAAACCCAAATATTGTATTTGCTTAATTGCTGCTAACGAAGTCGGAGCCGAGCGCAAGCAGCTTCCGCATAATTCCGGCAGGAGTGCCACGCAGCAGCGCGGCTGTGTGTCCCCATCGCGGGTCCCCACGGCCGGAGAGCAGCCGGGACCCCGGAGCAGCTCCTTGCTGAGCTCCTGGGGTGCAGCACACAGAAACAGAGGTGCACCCTACCGTGGAATCATTTGGGTTGGGAAACATCACCGAGTCCAGCCATGCCCCCAACACGTCCCCAAGTGCCACGTCCACCTTTCCAGACAGGGAAGGCAACAAGCGGAGGGAAGCACCTGAGCCTGCACCACCTCCTGCCCCCGGGCCCAGTGAGGAGCCCCGCAAGCCAGGCGGCTCCTGGCCACGGGCTTCCAGCAGGGAAAGGCTCCTGCCGCAAAGAGCCCAGCGAGGAGAGGTGGGACTGCCAAAGGCCGCTGGTGCCAAGCACAGGTCCCCATCGCAGCCTGCTGGCACCACACGAGCCCTGCATCCCGCAGTCTGGGGGCTCAGCCGGTGCCTCCCAACACCACCCAGGTCCCCTCCGTGACAAGGACAACGGGCCGCAATGCCAGCTCAGTCACTGCAAAACCTTCATGAACTACAAGAAGTTTGAGGGCTGCAGGAAGGAGCAAAGAACACCCTAAGGCCATGGTGGGCTGTGACCAGGGCACCCCACTTCCTCCCTGTGCCTCACTTTCCCCACCTTTGGAAGGGACCACCTAGGCCCCTTCTTCACAAAGACACAGCTAAAAAACCCCCATCTTCTGAAAATATCCAGCGAGACAAGCAGTGTGTCCTCCCCAGCAGCCCGGAGCACGTGCAAATGGCTTAAATATTTTTTTTTTCCCCAGCCCTGCCCACTGTGCAGCCCCAGGGATGAGCCCGGCAACCTCCCCACAGCCGGCCAAGCCACATCAGCAGGCTCAAACAGCAGATGCAGGTGAAAAGCAGCCTGCAGTGGAGCGTGGGGGTGGCAGCAGACCCCTCACCTCCAGCTGGATCCAGTCCCTCCAGCTCCACTGCGGAGCTGAGCCTGCTCTGCATCTGCCAGGGAAATGGAGCAAACATACTCCTGATTTACACCAGGAGCAGGCTCGATCCTGCCCTGCAAGGAAGGGACCCCACCGAGGGAAAAGGGTTTGCTTAGGAGGGGACCCTCCCCACAAAGCTGCCCCAGTGCCAGTGCGTCCCCACCAGTGCCCCTCCAGCCCCTCACGGGCTGCAGCAGCTCAGCCCTGAGAGCCAGCACAGCACCACGCACCGGGCTGGGGAGAGCGAGCCCCAAATCCCCCTCTGAAACCGGGGGGGCAGAGGCCCCTTACTCCACCGGAGCACTGAGCCCCCCACCAGCTCCATGCCTCAGTTTCCCCATCACCCCCTGCTCAGCCCCGAAGCTCAGAGCAGCACCTCCTGCAGCACACAGCCTCTCCCCCCAAAACACACAGCCATTCCCTCCACCCTGCATGAGCCGGGGGAGCCTCAACGGGTTCACACCCCCCACCCATCGCCTCTCCATCCCCCATGCACGGGTCAGCCGCCGCTTGTTTTCTGCTGATAGGCGTCACTATTTATAATCTTTGGAGAAATGCCACTACCCAAAAAAAACAAAATCAATGCACCACCATAGGGACTGCGTGCAGGTGAACACCTTGGATTTAAAGGTAAAAAACCAAAGAACTAGGCAAAAATACACTTTAAGGCGATTAGCATCACCCAGGAGCAGGGGGCGATAGCACCAGAGACCCCTTGGAGTGAAGCACCAAGTCCCGTGGCTCTGTTTCCCAAAACAGCGCTCGCAGCCCCCGGTAGCGCCTCGGGAGCCCCAGATTCCCATTCCCCGCAGCATTCCCCATTCCAGCTTCCCGAAGGGACCGGGAGCGAGTCGTCGTCGTCCCGCACGCCGCATCAGCTCTTCCCGAGTCCCTGCTGGGGGGGCCCGGGGAGCGCTGGGCTCGGCGCCGAGGTGCTCAGGGGAGGAGGGGAAAATTTAAAATATGTAAATTAATCAAATTAATCGATCGATCGATCGTATCGCCGTACAACTCCCCCAGAACCCCCCAGCAAAACGAGAGCCAGGAGGCTGCGATCGGAGCCGCCGCGGCCGCCACCTGTTCCTACCGGAGGGTCCCGGCTTCCCGCCAGGGCCGCCAGTGGCAGCACCGGGACCCCGCCGCCCCGGGGCACCGGCCTGAAGGCTCCTCTCGCCCGCGAGTCCCCCGCCGCCACCGGGGGAAGTTTTCCCTCCCGGGGTGCGGCGGGGGGGGGTTTGGACGGCGGCCCCGGTACCGGGAGCGAGGGGAACCGCGGGGCCGCGCTCAGCGGAGCATCCTCGGGGTGGCGGGCGCCGCCGAGCCCCCCGGCCAACGCACTCCCGGCTGGAAAAACTTCCCCCGGTAGCGGCGGGGGGGCGCAGGCGGGAGGAGCCCCCATATCGGTGCCCGGAAGGGAGGGAGGCGGGATCCCGGTGGTTTCACGGAGGACGGGGGTCCCGAGGCGGTTCGGACACTCTCCGGTGGGAACAGGTGGCGGTGGGACGGGCTGGACCCTCCGCGCACCGTGGTCGATGGAGCCCCGGAACCGCACCGAGCGAGCAGGACCCTCTCCCCGGCGCACACACCGCGCTCCGTTCCTACCGGCGGGCGTCTCGGTGTCCAGCGCGTAGACCCGCAGGGCGAGGGCGAGCAGCAGCGCCCGGGCGCTCCGCATGGTGCGGCCGGTGCCGGGGACCGAGCGGGGACGAGCGGCGGCGCCGGGGGGAAGTTTGGGAGCAGCGGGGGGGCGGTCCCGGGAGTTACGGGGGCACTGCGGGGGTTCTCTGGTGCCGGGGGAGAGGAGACGTGCGGAGGGGTCCCGCGAGCTGCGGGCGACGGGCGGCGCTCGGTTAAGGGAGGAGGGTCTCTCGTACCGGGGCGTGCGGGGAGAGGGGCGGTCCCGGGAGTTAAGGGGGCCTCCTGCACCGGGGGGTGGGAGGAGGGGAATATCCGGTGCTGGGAGAGAGGGGGAGCAAGAGCAGGAGAGGCGGGGAGCGGGGGTCCCGGGAGTTACGGGCTGAGGGAGGTGCACGGTTAAGGGAGGGGAGGTCTCCGGTGCCGGGGGAGAGCGGCTTGGGCTGCCCGGGAGTGCCTCTTGCTTGCGGGGTGGTGCAGGGGGGACCCCGCGAGGATGCGGGAGAAAGCGCGGGGGCCGGCTGCAGGGAGAGCCCGTGGCGCCGAGGGTCCCCTGCCCGTTGCTGCGGTGTCTCCTGCTGCAGCCGGGGGGACCCGGCTGCGGGGGGAAGAGGGGTTCCCTGCGGGCAGGGGGCTGCCAGGCTCTGGGAGGTGGGGGTCCCTGGTTTTCCGGGTGTGCAGGGATGAAGGGATAGTCCCCAGCTTGGGGGGGGCTGCCTCCAGAAGGGTCCCCACGATGCTCCAAATGCAGGGGGTGCCCTCAGGGGTCCCAGTTGCAGGGTCCCCACCGAGCTGGAGTGGATCCTGCAAGGTTTCCAGCCGCAGGACAGGTGCTGGGAGCAGGCTGGGACAGAGGGAGGCGATGGTGACACCCACTCTGGGGTGGGTTCCCCCAGCCCTCGAGTGCCCCCATCACCCCTGGGCTGTGGGGCAGAGACAAGACCCTGTGGGCTGGACACTGGGGACAGAGCCTCCTGCCCATCCCGGGATGTCCTCGGACCCTGAAACCCCCCCGGTCGTCCACCGCAGGCTGGATGTCCTTGAGGGACAGGGACAGGATGCTTTACTCTGCAGGATGGTGACAGGGAAAGCCGGACAAGGCTGTATGGGAGTGGCAGCGGCACCTGAGACCCCGGAGACACCCAGGGGTGGGAAGCGGGAGGGAGGTGCAGGATCTAACTCAGAGTGAGCAGAAAGGAGAAAAACCTGGAAAGATGTAAAAGGAGGAAAATCTCTGTCCCTTTCCCAGCCGAGTGCACGGGATCAGGCACAAAGCACTGGCAGCCCTGGTGTCCCTGCCAGCAGTGCCAGCAGGGATGAAAGGCTCCTTGTTTGTTGACATCCTCTCCAGCCCTACTTCTGGAGGAAAATGTTCTCCCAAAGGTTTGGGGTGAGGAGGAGGGGAACTTTGCATCAGCTTTTCTGGCGTGATCCGTGCTTAGGTTACCTAGCCCCAGCTCTGGCTCCAGGGTGGGAAACGGCCTGGGCACAGGAAAACTTGGAAAGCAGAGGGAACAACGCTGGAAATATTGTGACTTCGTACCCCAAATCACACAGGGAGAGTCCTTGGCATTGGCATCATCCTGCAATGATTCAGCCTTGTCCTGAAAGACAGCACCCAGCAGCCAGCATCCAGCAGGTGACAGAGGGACAGGGGATGGTACCTGTGTATTGCTGAGCCCCGTGACCCCACCGGGAAGCTCCCAGCCCCAGAAGTAGGACAACACTGCCCACCAGCTTCATCCAAGTTCAGCTCATCCCTAGGGATGCTGCTGTGCTGCTTCTCCGTGTTGGGCTGGCTTCATTATCTGGGGACACTGCACAGCCTTGGGGACACTGCACATCCCTGGGGACACTGCACATCCCTGGGGACACTGCACTGACCTGGGGACACTGCAGAGCCCCTGCCTGGACTCCTCCTCCCTGGGACAGGAGTTCAGCACATCTGGGGTCACCTCAGAGCTGCCAAATACTCAGCAGTGTCCTCGGTGTCACCCCTGCCTGTGCCATGAGGGTACAAAACATTTATCTTCCATTCCCAGTTGCCCCCAGTTGCTCCCCAAGCAGCCCAGTTGCTCCCAGCAGCACCCCCAGCAGGTTAGCACCATGGTGACACTTCTTGCAGGGATGCATCTGTCCCCATGAGTCTGGGGACAAACCAGACCAGTACCGTGTGTCCCCCAGCCAGGACAGCACACCTGGGCTGAGGGCAGAGGGTGATGGACATTCCTCTCCAAGTTGCCCCATGCTGAGCATGGAGTGATCCTGACAAATCCTCTCCCCAGTGACACTAAAAGCCTGTTAAAATCATGCCGAATAAGGGAATTAAGCTGCTTAGATGTGTGGCAGTGAAGGTAGGAGAGGGCTGGCACGGTGCAGAGAGTGGCACTTTGCAGGGTCCCCCTGGAGTTTTTTTGAGAAAAATCCCCCAAATCCTTCTGGGAAGAGGAGCTGGGTGATGCAGCAGCCAAGGGATGAGCTGAGGATAGTCTCTGCCCAGACTGGGGAGGAATTTGGGGGTGTCTTGACCCAGCAGCTGAACTGAAAATGTTCAGGGAGGAAATGCAGCCAAGGGTAAGCAGAAGCAGGATATTCTCAGGATTCTGGGGGATTCAACCAGGAAGCATGGAGTTTTTAAGCTGCACAAGCCTGTTGCGAGCACTGTGCTGTGCTTTCCACTGCCTTTTAAACCCCCGAATTGTACTTCCAAACCAATCACTTCAAAAAACAATAAAAAGGGGTTTTGTTGCAGCCAGCATATCAGAACAGAACTGTTCCCCATTCCCTGGGGGTCACCGTCCTGCTCCAACAGCCCCACAGCCCATCCGTGCCGCCTCCTCGGGTGAGCCCTGGGGTTCATCTGGTGCCACTCCCGTGCTTCTCCACGGGCATCGTTCGTGCACCCAGCACCTACCACGCATGGGGGCACGGCACAAATCCTGCATGAGCGGAGCAGGACGGACACGGGGGCTCCACAAAGGCTCCTGGTCCCTGCGAAGGGCTGGCACTGGCCCAGGGCACGGGGGGCAGGCGGGCACCTCCCGGGTGAGGGGCTTGGGGGAGCCTCCCGCGATGGTGGAGCTGGGTGTGGGGAGGGATGCAGGGAGGAATTAGTGGACAGTGTGCATTCATGCTGTGACCAGGTTTGGGGACAAGCAGGAATTGTCCCCAGGGCTCTGCATGAGGACAGTTACTGACAATTGCCCCTCCAGCACATCCAGCTCAATCCCACCTGTCCCACAGGGCTTGGCCCACAGGAAAGCTTGGCCAAGGACCCATCACTGCTTCCCCGAGCAGGGGGGGACCTGCCTGGCATTGACAGGGCCAGGGGTGCAGCCAGGGTTTGGAGGGGACACAGCACGCATCATGCGTGGTCTGGGACTAACCCTGCACCGAGGGAAGAAAGGAGGGACAAAGGGAAGCAGTGAGGAAGGAAGGATGGACGGGCAGACAGCACTGCCCCATGCAACTGCAGGGATGGAGCCAGTGACAACCCATCAGGACCAAGCTCCATCCCATTCCTGGGGTGCAAATCCTTTCCCCTAACCCTTCCCAAGCATCTCCTCCCACCCTGAGCACTGGCAGGATGAGCCTGCAGTCCTTGCCCTGTCTCCCTGTGCCATTAGCCCCCGAGGGTCTTGCAGGAGCAATCGAGTTAAAATGAAGTAATCACTCTTCAAGTACAGTCATTTGCAGGAAAAATATAGGCCTTGCTGAGATTGCAAATGGTCTCCACTGCAACCATCCCTCCCACTTGAGAGAGAAATGTTTTCAGCTCCAGGGTGCTCAGTGACAGCAGCCTCAAGCGCAGCCAGTGTGGCTGTATCACATCTTACGGCTTCTCCCATGTTGAGAGTAAAGAGATGGGATTTGAGGCTTTGAATCTCTTGGGAGACAGCAGTGCTTTCAGGAGGATTCTTTTGCTTTCGGATATCTCTCTAAAATGGCAGGTTGAGGGAGGGGGGCTGCCCTGAGCCCTTATCCCAGAGCCCAGGGATGGAGCTGCAGCACCCACTGGTCCTCCCCAAACACTGGGCGAGCATCTCCACATTGACCACACAAAAACCCTTTACATTTTGACTTATTTCAGAATACCGTCTTTTGCTGCCAGCACAGTAATTCCTCATTTTTCCCCATTAAACCCACAGGACCCAGAGCCCATCACTCCCTCCCTGGCATTGCTCCCAGCAGTGCCTTCCCTGCAGCAAATGGCTCTTGCAGAGCTGCTGGGACACAACACCCCACACTGAATTTTAAGCAATTTCACCCCCCAAAAAATGTTGCCTTTCTGGTTGTTTTCTTCCTTTTCCCTTTACTCCAGTCTCTCTTCCTCTTCCTCCCATATTCCCCCCTTTCTTTTTCTATACCTCCACCTATCACACCCCCATCCAGCTCTTTCTAACAACTCTCTGCTATTTTCTTAAATCACCTGCCTTTTGCTAATGCCAAAAACCCTTTTTCTTTCCTAACAGACAAAATAGATTATCTCATCCTGCTGTTCTCGTCCCTGTCTGTCCAGCCCCAAGTGGTCAGACGCCTGCCGCGGTGCCGTGGCCGGATGTAATAGGGCTATTAGATGAGTTATCACAGCCTGAAAGGATGAAATAACTTCTGTGCCTTCATCCAAATAAAACTCCCTATTCCTGTTCAATGCAACAAATGAACAAGAGCTCCCAGGGGAAATAGCCAGGAAAATGTTAGAAGATGTTACAAGGCGTTAGAAGATGTTATTTAAGACTCAACCTTTCACCAAGCCACCTCTTGGTTTGGGCTCAAAGGGCACGGGGGGTTTCTCCACGGGGAATTGGGAAGCCCAAGGATCAGTGCCAACACACAGAGCTAAATCCTCACCCGGGTGCTGCTCCAACTTTTTTTGAGTGCTGGGTGGCACAACCTCATGAATGTCCCACGTGTGGCTGAATCCTCGGACCACTTGCATCCAGCAAACTGCTCTTTTCTCACCCTGGGTACTAATTCCAAGGAGAAACTTTGCTTTTCATCTCAGAAAGAGATGTCTCAAGCTGTCCCTGCATTTCCCAAGAGCTCTATGCAATGTCCCCAGAGCTGCAGGTGGAGCATCCAG